ATTTTTTTAAATAATGAAAATACTTTTGTGGTTACACTGTAAGCTATACTGGCTCAAATTTAGAACACAACTAATTCCATTTGTGCATTTTAAAGTATGTTCTCTAAATGTTGAATAGGAAAGCAGAATGCTTTTGACCCTGTAAGTTTTGTGCTGTTTTTTCTTCCATTCGTTTAGTATTTTTTTTCTTTTTTTTAATTCACACAGACTTTACAGAGCACAGTATATATTCAGGCTCATCTTTAACGTGTGGAGGGTTTTACCCCTTAACACAATTGCAGTCACAGCTGTGAGCATATACAGCTCTCATAAAATGTGACACCTTTTCCATTAGTTCAGGGCTGCACCTCATTGAGTTCTCTTGTGGCACTTTTGTTGCAGCAACGCATCACCTAAACAACAAAAACACATTTCTACGAAAACCTTGAAAAATGTTTTTTTTCTTTTCTTCTTTTTGGGGAACCAAGGCCTGTGTTCCTTGTTTATGGTTAGTCTTTTGAACTGCCCTATTGCATCAGTGCAGACATCCTGTAAACCTGCTTTTTTTCCTTCTGGAACACTGCAGCTGTATGAAATCCTTCATAGGTGAATTCTCTGATCAATTTAAAAGATGCTTGGTATAATGTGTGACCCATGACTGTAACCTGACTAGTTAGAGAACTACCAGGGAAGGTGTGAAAGGAGGCATCCTTGTTTATATTCTTATTTCACTTGTGTGCCTACTACTGCTGCTGGAGGTGTATATTAAATGGTCCCTTCCTCTGGGCTACCTACAGCTTTGAAATAGCATCAAGTGTCCCCCCTGCCCCCCTTCTCTTAGTTGTGTATCCTGCTGCTCCTCTTTGGTGTTGATTTTTTCCTCTTTTTCTATTTAGTCTGTGGTATTTTTGCAGACAGGATCTTTTGGGGGGTTGAAAAGCAGCTGCACATGTATTAGACATGTGAAGGAAAATGTTATAATCACAGCTGAATTGAGGTCCACAGGACAATCTTGATATGTTCACAGTTTGCTCTCTCTGTAACATTAAAACCAAGCTCTGTCCCATCCACTGGTCGCAGGGGATGGTGTTGCCCATACTAAATCCTCAATAGTCTTATTGTTTTTCAAAATTTTAAAAAGCATGAGACGCTTACACTAAAACTATTTGAATTTCTCGGATGATAGGATATGCGGGGGATTCACCCCATGTATTGAATGTGTTTAAAATACAAGTAATATTGACTTGGGATTCCTAGAAATTGCAAGGTTTTACTATAACTCCCAATTTACTTCTTATAAAATAACTGTTTACGTAAGTATTGTCATCTTCAAAATAAATATTTGGTTGAGCTAAGAAAGTTAAAACAAAAAGTGTCAATTTCCTAAGTGTGTATATAAAAAAATCAATGTACTACATCTATCTGTCTTTTACTATGACTGACAGAATAGCCCCCCTGACACGCACAGACACACACACACACACACACACACACACACACACCAGACAGTGTTTGATACTATAAAGTAGGTCACATGCCAAACATGAACTCAATAAATATGTAATACATTCTATTAAAATTGCCTGGGCAGAATTGGGAGCTTTTGATGGTTGTCCCTCGAGAAGGGTCTAATTAACAAAAATAAACAGAAACAAAGAAATAATAAGATAAGGTCAGTAGGAGCAACTCAATTGATAGACATCACAAAATCATGAAATCTGAATATAGCCATGTAAAGGACATAATAAAACAACCAAATCACTGGGGTAAGTCAGTGTCCCTGATGTTACAATTAAGATACCAATTCTTTCAGCTCTACCTTAGATGTTATTTTATATTTTCACAGCTTTGCTTCTAATCAGAAAGCAGAATAACCATCTGGGAAAACATTGTCTTACCTTTGTTTATAGATCATACAGTGAATCCGTCTGCATACTGTGCCTCTATTATCTGGCATATAAATGGTAGCCACTGTGAAAATCACAAAATTTAACAGTTTAAGCATTGGAGTTAATAACCAGAACCTCTCTGAGGTCATAGTATTTCTGCTAATTGTTTTAACTCAGTTGCTGTTTGTGCAGAAACTCTATGCATTTCTGTTAAAGAAACAGCTTCTCATGGAAACCCCTTCCATTAAAATATTTAAGGGTGTCGTGTGTTACTAACAAAAACCAAATGTGAGTTGATATGAAAGGCCAAGCTGCAGAACCCAGAAATGCTTTATTGTAATTCATGCAATGCGCTCATGTTTACCATTCCTGCTAGGCTGTGATCACTTTATATCAAAGGTTACTAAAGAGATCAGAGAGGGAAAACATGTCATGCTGGTAAAGCGGCTTTATCTGGACAGTATGTTCACTATTAGTGGGAGACAGGATTTTTCTCTTTAAGCCCTTAGTCTATTTACTAATTGCAAATTTTACATTTTCTGAAGGGCTAGCTACTCAAAAGTCATTGATTATCATTTTCAGGAATTTTGATTTTGATTCTACACGATGTTTGATTTTAGAGGTTTTATTTATCTGGGCCATACATTTTAGCATATATCAGAGATCCCATACTTTGATACATCAATTGAGAAAAATGCAGCAACTGATTTTGATGGACTGGTATGTCAAATCAATTCAGACATTTATTTTTCCTTATTTTTTATCCCTGAAATTGTTATTCTTTACAACTATGTCCGTTTACCATCATAATCAGCCTACCTGTGTCTTTTCACTAGGAAATTAAATGGGCCTGAATTGGATAGATGGTACATACTTTAGTGTAGCAAAGTGACCTGGATGTGAAATGTAGCATTAGGGTTATAAATATTGCTGAAAAAGCATTACACTGAGTCAACGGTAAAGGACATTGAACCCTTAAATCGTCATTACGTAGCTGGTAAAGTGCTGAGAGTTCCTGTTGGAAAATAGAGGGGTTCTGCTGTGTAGTCATCTCTGAGCATGAGCTGTGATGTCTCCATGGATGGCTCTTTGTTTAGTTTACAGACCTGGATGTTATAAAGAAAAAAAAAAGGTGAGCTCAGGCTTGATGAAGAATCAAACCCCCCTCTCCTGAATGTGAAGTCAATTTTCTGTATCCCGAAATGTCCCTCACCCGTTAAACGGTTTAAATATTCAATATGACATGTTTTTACCACAATATTCTTTACTTCTAGGGTCACGCTGTGAAGTCAACTCCGATGACTGCGTTTCAAACCTTTGCCAAAATGGTGGAAGGTGTATTGATGGGGCCAATCAATATCACTGCTTGTGTCTTGATGGCTTCATTGGGCTCCACTGTGAGAGCAACATTGACGAGTGCATGTCAGCACCTTGTCTTCATGGGAGGTACACGCTTTTCTCCATTAATCGGGACAAAAACAAGCAAATTGTACACCAGTTGAATAGAATCATATTTAATTGCACCTCTTTATAGCGCAGTGGGTGGCAGCATATGTCAGGGGGTTAACAAGACAATACACTTACAGCTCACCATAGTAGTGATTCAATTATAGTCATTCAGCCAAAAGGGAGTTTTTGCATTATTGAAAAAACAGATTTCTTCTTAAGGGTTCTTTGTAAACTTCACAGCAAAATACCTCCTTCACAGTGTCATTTTTTTAAATCACAGTTAGCTTCTTAATTTATTAATTGTAACTGCCTGTTATGGCCCTCTCAGCTGTGAGGATGGAGTTTTTTCATACACCTGCCTTTGTGAACCTGGCTGGATCGGCAACAGATGCGAAACAAACAATGACGTGAGTTGAGCTTTGTTAATAAACCCGCTGGGTGTTCTGGAGAAATGTCAAGACAACTTTGTAGTCTTTGTACGGCCTTTGGTATCATTAACTCCATTGATTTTTGTACAAGATAAGTCAATGGTACTACCAGGATCATGTAAACACTGCACAAATACCTGATTAAAAGCAATTGCTTAGTCTTGGGCTTAATTGATTTGAAACCCCAGCTTTTTGCTGGACTCTAGAGATAAGACAACAAACTGCTCACAAAGTCTCTGCGAGCACAATGTTCAGTGAATAAAT